TCAGTATGATGTAGAAAAAACATCTCAAAAGCGAGGTTGTCCTTCGCATTTTTTCCAAGCTACAAATAAAAAAATCCTTCATCATCATCAACAAACATTATATCACATATATATCCATGTGTATATTGCGCGCTTGATTATTCAAGTTATATGGTTTTCATTACATTCATCATTGAAGCGGAAAGGCGAATGAAAAAGAGAATTTTTGTTCCATCATTCACGTTATGAATATGAATTATCAAATCTGTTACCCATGTCATTTCAAATATCAGAATATTATGCAATATATATAAAGAATAACAATATGGATATATTATATTGGGACAGAGAAAAAAAATGTTGAATTCTAAATCAAGGCTTTTGATATACGGCAGATGTTATTAATTTCATTTTCATATATAGAAATATTATTATATTCATCATTATCATCATCATCAGGGGTATTATTTGTTACCCTCTGTGTCCATGTTGTTGTTACTTATCATCGTCATTTTCAATATTGTTCTCATATATATACCATTATTATTATTATCTTTATTTCTAAGCTTCGAATTTTTCTCGATCCAATACCCGGTCTTTTTCTTGTTTCTTTTTACATAGAATTCAGCCAATTTGCATCAATATGACTAGTATCATCATCATTGAGAAAGTAGAATATAATAATAATAAATTAGATTAAATGCCAAGACGCCATTACAAAAAAAACCAACAACAATAAAATAGCAAAATTCAAATACCGAAAAAAAGTAATAATAATGGAAAGAGATAGATGGGTAGATAGATAGACATAAGATACAATTTCCAAAATAAACATAGCATCAGCAAGAAGGCAATAATATATATACAAGAAAAAAGATTATAAAGAATAGACGAACTGAAAACCCCGACATCAAATGAATGTGGATGAATGATGCAAATTGCCCTCTTGATTCTTTCTTTTTTTTTCTTCTTCATTTTCATTCCCATTTCTAGATGAATACTTTCCTTGAACACACACTCAAACGTAACGAATTCTATTCAATACCATAAAGATTCACCATCATCATCACCATTCATGATTCCGCTTATCTCGATTTCATTTCATTTTCATACAATTCTTTCGGTATATTTCTGTTGTTGTTGTTGAATAGGGATGTTGATTTATTTTTGACACTAGAGAGTTACAAACATACACAGACATCATATATATGATGTTGATGATGATGATGATGATGATAGTGATGGTAATGGCTATGGGTGATCATTTATGATGATAACCAATAATAACATTTTTTCAAATGAAATTGTAATATTCAAGTAGCAAGCAATATTCTAATATTCATAGAGAAAATAGGAAAATCTACTTTATTAATGTCTAATAATGATAATAATATTAGGTAATAATAAATCGATATCTGAATCTTATTTGAATAAACTCATTTCTATAAATATTTCTGAATTCATTTATCTTTTTGAGTTAATATTTTCATTTCTCATAATGATAAATATTCATAAAAATAATAATATTGCTATGAAATCAAACATAAATAAATAGAACAAAATGTAATTTTTAAACATAAAATACAAACTAATTTATCTGCTAAGAAAAAGGTTTCGAAATCAACGAAATAAACAAAATGTCAACAACAAGACAAAAATTAAAACTAAAAATGTCTGACTTGTTGATATCTTGTGTTTTGCTTTTTTCCAGTCAACGCATATTACCTTTGTTATAACGGCGATGCTTGGATGAGCCATCATCTATCTACAATGTAGATTCTACATGATTCTAATTATAGTGTCTATCTATTTTCAGATAATCATAATCACGAAAAAGAAGAAATAGTCTTGATACTGGTGAAAAATTTCCTGTCAAATATTTCCACTCAATGGACACGAACATTCAGGAATCAAAAGAAAAAATAAGCCTAATCAATGGTATATCATTACTCCCTTTTCTTTTTTATTCTTCATTTTCATGGAATTCCTGTGAAGAAACTTTCTTTCGCTTCTCGATTACTGGTTACTATTATTGGCGGTTATATCGATGTGTCGTCAAAAAGAATAGAAGAGAAAAAAACAATGAAGAATCGATGATATAAAAAGAAAAAATAAATAGTCACGCACACAACAAATAAGGACAAATATTCAGGAAGCACAATGAACTTTGAATAACACACATACACACACACACAAAACAATGACATTCAAATTTATATGGATCACATGCACAGAAACGAACAAATAGAAACAAAATAAAGCGAAAAATGAACACATACCAGAATTAGAATCCTTGTCATCATCATAATTGTTATTGTTGTTGCTGTCGTCGGAGATGACCATGGTTGTCGTTTCAAATAACGTTGATTTTGAATTTTTATCCAGCCATTGTTGTTCGTGGTCGTCATGATAATGATCTGGATGCACATACATATCATGTTGTTGTTGTAGTTGCTGCTTTTGATGTAATGATGCTGATGACGACAATTTTTTCCATTCATCATCCTTTTTGTCATTGATGAAAATTTGGTGATTGTAATTAGTTGAAACATGTTTATGTTTGACAAGAATTATTGTCATCATTGGACATCACAGCATCTACGATGGATTCTTTTCATTTTCGTTTTAATCATTTTTCCATTTCCATGTACAATTCTTTTTTGATATTATTATTAATAATAATCCGGATCAGAAATGTTTGATTCCTGTTGAAATTCAGTATTTTTGTTCATCTTATTATTATCATAATTCACGGAAATTGTTCCAATATCACTATTAGTATTATTGTTAATCAGCAGCAGATGTTCATTTTATTTTTCTCATTTATTCCATCCACTATATGTTTGTTGTTATTATTATTCTTTTTATTCTGGACAATACCATGATCATTATTGACGGAATATAAATCTTTGAATACATACACACAAAACAAATATGAAAACATAGAATGAATAAAAATATCAAATTAGAACAACATCTGAAGGTTAGATTAATCATTCATTCATTCTTACCTGTTTTATTTTGTTTGTTATCCATGATTAACGTTGACAACATTGTTTCATTTTGATGATTGGCTATTATTGGCCATTGTTGGAAGATTTGTGAATTAGGAAAAGAATTTTGGCCAATATTTTTTGTTTGACTATGTTGTTGTTGTTGATGATCAACATAATTATGTATGCTTCGGCTTATGTATTGTTGATTTGTTAGCTGTTGTTGTTGTTTTTCTATTTCGTGCTCCACTATCATTTCCGTTGATCTAACCAAATTATTATTCTTGATGATTCTTTGGTTCATGATCATCATTGTTGTATCATCATCATGATCATGTTGATGATCTTTTTCCTTTTTGTTCGTTGTATTTTCCGGGATCAATTCATTCATTTCATTCTGTTGTTGTTGTTTTTTCATCTCATTCTTTATAATCATCATCATCAAATCATTCAACTGATGTTTGTATTGTTTGCTCATTATTTGTTGTCGGCATATGTTGTCAATATTGTTGATGATACTTTCATTCAATAATGAATAATTCGATGACAATAGATTTTGATTCTGTAATGAAAGAAGTGGAGGCCATTTTTGCATTGATTTTAAAATTGAAGCAATTCTGTTGCTATTGTTGTTGTTGTTTGATTATTCAAATTAGTTTCTGTTTGAATTTTATTATTCTTCTGATTATTTTGCTTTGATTGCTGTTGACAAATTCTTTCAAGCAGCTGTATTACGCGTTCTCCTTAAGATTGTTCGTTGATTTTTCTTTGTTGTTGTTGTTGTTGTTCAATAATCAGATTTCCATCGTCTGACTTTTTGTTTTGTTGTTTATAATCAACGACCGATTCTTTATTATCACTATTTTCAACGATATTGATGTCATTATAAATAATGCCATCATTTTTATCATCATAATATTTTTCTTTTTTAGGATTTTCCGTTTTTTGATTCTGCTGCTGCTGCTGCCGTTGTTGATGATGGTGATAGCTGCTGTTGTTAATGATGAATGAATTCAACAATAAATTAACTTGATCAGAATCAAATGCTGATGGTATTGATGAAACAAATTTTCAGCCCAATGATTATCAGTAATGAGGAATCATTGTTAATATTGTGTCATTGTCAAGATGTTCATCCATGATAATAGAATTCTGATTCAGTTTAGAAACAAGCTGATCATGGTGAAAATTCTGATTTTGTAGCTGTTGTTGTTGTTGATTAAATGATAATGGTAATGATGTTTCATTCTCATTTTCTTCTTCTTCTTGTATGAATTCGTTTTTGTTCATCAATGATTTTTTCGCACTGTTATTGTTGCTGTTGTTGTTGATGATGATGATTGATATATTCTGATTAAAATCAAATGGCAATGATGATGATTTGGCATACGTCAATTCTTTTTCACGATTCATTATGGAATCATGTATCTTTGATTCATTACCATCATTATCATTTTGTTTGGATTCTATTTTCATTGTCATTAGCATCATAGCATTTTGTTCAATTTGATTTGATTTTCTTCGAATTCTTGTTTTGATTCGATTATTATCATCATCTTCATCATTATCATTATCATCATTATGGTCAGAAATATTGGCTGTTGTTGACAATTTAGATCGTTGTTGTTGACGTTTCTCAACACTGTTGTCAAAATTCTTGAAATTATTTTTTCTATGCCTGCCATTCTTATGATTTTTAGTTGTTGATAAATTAGATTCATTATCATTTTTACTAATGAAATTCGGAATTTTATCATTATTATTATTATTATTATTATTGGCACTGGAATGTTTTATTGTTGACAACATTTGTTGATCATTTCGGCTATCATTCACATTCTTTATATACAATGATTTTATTATCATGAATGGTCGAATCTTTTTGGACAACTTTCATTTTCATTGATTTCGATTCAAAATGAAATTTTGAAATCGTTTCATGATCATTACGATATTGATAATGATAATGATGATTATTATGGGCACTGATGGTGAAGGGAACAATTTGATTGGTGGCGATCGTAGTAGTAGTGTTTGACTTTGTTTCCGTTGCCGCTGTTGTTGTTAGTGTCCATATTGATGATACAATGACCATCAATAATAATGATAATGATAACAGAATAAATTTATTACAGGCAAATAGGAACATTGATCCGATACGACATGAAAGATTGACCAACAATGATTTTTCTGTCATTTTTTCTTTTCTTTTCTTTTTTTAGTGTTGTGTTTCACAATATGAATTTCAATGACGACGATACGTATACGTATAGTAAACATAGACAACAGCTAAATTCAATGAAATTGATTTAGTGCAAAGAAGTAAAAATAACAAGGATGCTACTTAGCCACTGAATGGACAGAATTTATTTTGTTCATGTTTGCTCGAAAATAAAGATGAAACTATCATCATCATCATCATCAACTTCACCGTTGCCATCATCATAGTGGTGAATGTGATCATAATAATGATGTTGTTATTGTTGTTGTTGTTTCGATTTTTTTTTTGTTGATAAAAAAATAATAAACAAGAATGAAAGTTATTCTCAGATCTTGTACGGTATCATCATTATTATCATTGTGGCCATTGTATAGGATGTGATGAGGATGATGATGTTGTCATCGCTTTTTTGATTCTATCCAGTTAGACTCTTGAATAACGATGACAAACACACACACACACATACACACGATGCGTGATGATGGGCGAGTATGAGATGTCAATTTTTTTTTCTTCTTGGTTGTTGTCTTTTTCTTTACACAATAAAAACGGACAGAATGATGATGATGATTATAACTTTTAGTCGATAGGACAGTGTGTCTCGAATCAATAGTAGTTTAGACTTATATTTCTAATGTCCCTGTGTGATCATCAACAATAACAATGGCAACATCAACATCATCATCATCATGAAGACCATTGAATTGGGTGACACAGATTCCACAAGATCCAAACAACATTACACTGATGTTTCATATTGATTTTTTTCTTTTGTTTTTTTTCCCATTCATCTGTCATTGGGCTTTTCCAGAATTTATTCTCTATTCAGCACAGTACTAAACATAAATGACGTGTCCAACTTGTTCTGTTTTTATTGTTGTCAACTTTTTTTTTAAGATTTTCTTTTTTTTTCTTCTTTCTCTCTCAAGGTTTGTTCGCGAGTTTTCGATTTGTTTGAATTCAATCAATAATTTTTCGGCTATTTTGTTGTTATTATATTTGGATCACATTTGGACCATATTTTTCTTGAAAATATTCCAACTAAAGCTTTTCAGCTGTTGTTGTTGTTGTTGTTGTAGTAGCTTTACTTTAAATTCGTTGTTTATTTTCACCATTTCATAATCTACATTTGGGACGAAAAAAAACAACAAGAAAATCAGATTAATTCAACATTTTGATAAAATAAAAAAAAGAACAAAGACGAGCAAAATAAAAAAAGTTTTTTTTTTCTTTGAACAAAATTGAATTTTTCAATATCTATTTTTCTGGTTGAAAATCAAAATGGACAAATTTCATCGGATTTGCTTCAACATAGAAAAAAAAAATTGAATTTGATATTTGGGTATTTCGACATCCGTCAGGAGAAACAAACAAAAAAAATTCATCTCAATCGTTTCTTCAACATTCATTTTGATTATATGCAAAAAAAAAATACGGTACAAATGTACTGGTTTGGTGATTTCATCAATTTCTTGCCCTCTCAAACGTTTCAACACATCGTTTTCAAGGATAACGAATGGGTAAATTGAAGTATTTTCTTTCGAATTGAACAAAAATAAAGAATTGAAAAAAAATGAAAGAAAATCTAATTTTCGTAAATAAATACTTTATTTTAAGAAAACAAAAACTATCGACATGCATTACACACACACACACACACACATACAGCAGAGACAAAAAGATAGATACGAATGTTTTGACAAGAATTTTCGATTGAAAGAAATTGCTTTTAGGGCAAGTATTGAATCAAAAACATACATGACACACATGGAAGGTTTTATACATATTCACTATATCTGGGTATTGCTTATTTCTTTAAAATAAATATATATAAAAAAAAACATTAAATATCCACATAAGGGCATTCACACACACACACACACATTTATTCGTCGGGAAAAATTGATGATGGAATTATTTTGAACCGTGTACGAATATACAAAAATCACGACTTGACGACGACGACGACAAATGTATTGATACCAATGAACGCTATTGAATTTTGATTTTGTTATCGTTATTGTTTTTCTACTATATTCTTGAAATTGTATTCGTTTCCATTCTTTACAAATAGAAAGAGATATGACATTTTTCGTCGTAATATATTCACATTGGAAACGAAAATATTGCAATATATAATTTGAAAAACGAACATGTGTCGATTATAAGTCAGAATTGACCGAAACTGATTCAAATTATGAAAATTATTTGAAAATTGGTGGATATATGCGTTTAACGTTTGATTTCAAATTCAAGAAGTCAATTGAAAATATCGGACACCATTTCAAATTTATGAATACATGACCAAAATGTGAAGATTCCTATCTAGAAAAAGATGAGAATTTTGGAAGAAATCATGAAACTCGAATATGTTTCTCGCAATGTGCAAGGTTTTATTAATCTGTTCGAAGGAAAGCGTTGATGAAATTGTAATGAAGACCAAGATTCAGTGGTTATCAATGATTTCCTTAAAGCCTTGTTGTTAACAGCTATGGACGAAAGAAATTTTCTCATGTTATTCGAAGTATTCAAAATGATAATAAAAACTGGATTACGATAATTTGGTTCAAAAATTATTGCAAAATGAAACTACCGAAGTTCCTAAAATTGATACGGTATGTCCGGTTAAAAAGTTAAATGTTTTAAATGCTAACAAATTTGGTCATTATGCTAACAAATGTATGTACATTCAAGAAGAAAGAAAAAGCATACGATTCAATGGGAATCTTTCTATTCCAATGATAACTAATGGCGACAAAAAACATGAAGTTAAACGTCTTACAGTGGTTTATTCTGGATCAAATCAAAAATTAAATTGTTGTTTATTCTTGATTCAGGAGCATCAGCTCATTGCTGTAATAATCGTGATTTGTTTCTTAATCTTATTGAAGATGAAACAGTTTTGTCAACCATTAGTGGACAACGATATTCTGCTAAATCTTCTGTGTAACCGTACGTTGTTTGTGAATCAAAAGCAGAAAATGAAGAGTGAAAATACATTCACGAATGAATTTAAAAAGCACATGTTATCGAACTTTCTGTACAAAATGATTTGTGCTTGTGTTGTGATCAATTTGATTTTGTTTCTGTGAAATTTTAAAGATATACCAACATTTGGTATGAAATCTATTTTAATCATTATTATAATTTATAATTTTATTGTTCAATTTTCAGAATTAAAGATTACAATTTGTTGTGTAACACTTCTGGCACAGGCGATTATGTTCAATTTTGGAAATGGTTATGGCTGTGTTCAAATCGAAAAGGTCTACTTTACGCAAATTTTGGATCTTAATGTTTTATCGATTCCATTGCTGCAAAAGCAAGGTTTTGCCATAAATTTTCCAGCCAACGAAAAACGTTGTGAAGTTTATCGTGGAAATGATCGTATTATTGAAGTTGATCAAGATAATGATCTGTATTATGTTAAATATACATCTGTTAAGGATAAAATTGTTTGTTTCACTGCTCATGAAAAATTTGGTCATCCAGGAAAATCGATTCAAAAAAGATTGAATATTAATGAAAATGAATCTTGTAAAGATTGTTTAGAAAACAAAATGGTATCATCACCACATAAATTTAAAATTGGTGCAAATATAACCAAAACTTGAACATGTGGCGCCTCTGGTGTCAAAGCCTCGATGAATAGTCCCAGTCGTGTGCGATAAAGAGAAAAGCACGTGAAATAAATATAATCATTCTTCTTTCATACTCGAACTCGTCGCTACAAACATATTAATGTTGATCTGATCTTGTTGGTCAATGTATGTTTCTACAGTCGGTGGCTCAAGATATATGTTTAGTTATTGTTGATACATTTTCAAGATTTACATTTGTTGATTTTCTTGGTGCAAAATCTGAAGTAACAGATATTTTAATTAATTTTATTGTTATGGCTTCAAATCGTTATGATTTTACAGAATCGATTGGATCATTATTGTTATTGGTGTTCACCATTGTTGATGTCGTTTGATTAGTTCGACGTGTCAACCGTTTAGCCGATTTTGTTTGATACTCACTCGATGATTTTTGACAAGAACTCTGCGCGACACGGAGTTTTTCCACCCTTTTATACTTTCGTCTTTTGTTTTCTTTGCTGATGATTAAACGGTCATATGTTGCGATCTGCTGTCGATTCCCGTCACAAAATACGTTACAATGCTTTACGTTTTCCGCTACACAACGAAATTTCGACTGTATCTCTTTATGAATAGTCATCGATTTTATGAACAGGACAAAATTATAATTGGCATTTAGTTTCTCTCCTCTTTCAATATCTTTTATTTTCAGGGTATATAAAGAAGCTGAATTTTGATCATTTAAGAACTCTTAAGATCTCATGTCCAACCATCATAATTTTTGTTAATTTATCTAAATTTGTCAATAAAATGAATTTATGTAAATCTGTACGTGAATCTTCTTGTAATCATTTGCTATGTATCAATCGAACGAAAGTTGTTGTTGAAATCCTAACGGCTTAAATATCGACCAATACTAACGTCTGTCTTCAAAATCTGGCTAAATATCGATTTAACAATATCTACGATTTGTTGCCCCTCTTTCATGTTTGTGATTAAAGATAGAAGGAGAGGAAGTTGGTCATTTCCGGAAGCTAACTCTCACTTTTATTACATATATATTTGTTTAATATTCGTGAATGAAACTGTGAAATAGAAAAAAAACAAATGAACAAGACAAGTAGTGGGTGAAAAACAAAAAATTCCATGAAAAAAAAACGTTCATAAACAAAAGAATTCAGCAAATGAATGACGATAAAGATTATCATTAACATTTGAACAAAGAATAACAACTGCGATGACAATAGCAAAGAAAAAAAAATCGTCTGATTCGATTTACGATAGTTTTTCCATTTGTTATGATTTAAAGTTTAACTCAAAAAAAAACAAATGTGTTTTTGCTATCAATTTTTCACGAAATAAAAGCCAAAATGTCATTGTTGATGGCACATACACAATAAAGGATTTTTCATCGATTTTCGAGAATAAAACAAAACCAAAAATAAATAAAATACAACTGAAACATGCGATTCTTTGAGATGATAATAATAATAAGGATGATGATGATGATGATGATAATAAAAGATTATAATGATTATCATTATTATTAAGAAATCGTAATCATAAAAAGTTATTTCAAACAACAACAACAACAACGACGACAACGGTACAGAGAAAAAAATCCGATTTCAGTGATTATTAGTAAGTTTTTTTTCCGATTTTGTTTTAACAGCATTTTTTTCGTATAGTGCAACTTTCCAAATTCTTTCTCGCTATTTATTTCAAGTATTTATCTTGAATATATGATCAAAAATGAGCAATGATCTGATTCAATTGAAACTTTTTTTTTTGGGAGGGGGGAGGGGTTGCGGAAACTTTGAAATAAATTCGGAAATGATTCTGGAATTTAACAGAATTAATTATAAAAAAATGAACAGAAATGAGTCAAATGATATGAATATACATTTTTGATGATGAAAAAAATATTTTGTTCAATATTTCTCAATAATGAATGAAAATTTTTCAATCTTTCTATACTGATGATGATTTTTTCTGGGTTGAGTGTTTTTTTTCTTTTGATTTTGAAAAAAATGATAAAAAATATCAGTGAGTTAAGCTTGATGAAAAGGATGGTGGAATAAAAAAGTTTCAAATTTTATAATTAAATTTTTTTTTTCACGTAAAAAAACGAACAAAATAGAGAGAATCAGTGAAATGAAAACTAAAAGCCATTAGGAAATCTAATCTAATGATGAATAGAAATCGGTTTTTTTTTCTATTCAGATACAGTTGTTCAGTTGTCTAATCTAGGCTTAGATTTTTTTTTCTTCAATACCATATTCCCTTGAATGAACACACACACACAGCCGGCAATATCAAATTTGAAGGCAAAATTGGAAAAAAATGCATGTCAGTGAAGAAAGATAGAAGCTACAAATATATCAGGGAATTATGTTTGTTTTTTTTTGACATTTGATTTGATTTGATTTGATTTGATCTCGTTTTTAAAATTGAAATTCATTTTTTTTGCTCATCACAATTTTAAATAATGAACAGGCACACACCATAAACAATATATAAATAAATTCCAATTGTAATAAACGTTGAAACCGAGAGGATGCACGTTAGGCATAAATTGGACGCAGGAATATTTTAATCAACGAATTTTATTTATCATAATATTTTTAAAAGAAACGCGGAGACAATATCAATACAACTAAACTCATCAATCGTACAACAATTGGTGAGCTCTAAAACAAAATCACCTGACTTGAGACCAAGAAGAGAGACATTCATAGACCTCGTTACACCCCTTTTTCAGTCGAGCTCTCTTGGTCTTCCTCTAGATGGAACATTAATTAAATCAGAATCAGTACAATCATTAATGTACAACTTCATTTGATTGTTATGAACAATAAGTTTTTTCTGATTTTGACCTGCAATTACATATAACTTAGATCCTTTTGTCTCTACGACCTTAAAGGGACCTAGCCAAGGTTGTTTTTTACCATGTTTTCTTCGGATCAGTATATAATCGTTGATCTTAAATTTTAATTTCAGATCACATTGATAATTTTTTTTCAAATTCATTTTAGCTTGCGTACGCCAATTAGCTGTTTTAATGGGATCATTTTCAAATAGTTTTTGATCAATTGGATCGGATATATCACATTCGAACTTTTCGTGATTACCATGTAAGAGTTGAGATGGAGTGAAACCAGTGGAAGTATGAATCGTATTATTATATATTTTCAATACTTCATTCAACTTCTTATCCCATTCATCTTCAATTTTCATTGAACGTACAATATTGCGAAAAGATCTGAAGAATCTTTCAATTGAACCATTAGTTTGATGCAAATACGGTACTGCAAATTTTTGATGAATATTTTTTTCAGCACAAAATTCATTATATACTGTTGATTCGAAGATTGAACCTCGGTCAGATATTATGTTCTTTGGAATACCACGAGTTTTAAATACTTTATTCAAAAAGAATATTACTTTTTTAGCCGTAGCTGTTTTTGTTGAACACGCTTCCACCCATTTCGATGATAAATCAATACAAGCAATCAAGTACCGATTATTGCGTTTAGATGAATTCATGTCACAAATATCGATAGACCAAGTATCGTTAATTTCCAATGACGAATAATCGATTTTGTTATGTCGTAATTTAACTTGATTATCATAATCTTTAGTTTGTTGACAGATTGAGCATGAATTAATCAATGATTTGATTCGTTCTTTTAATTTTGGATGATAATACCGTAATTTCATGAATTCGCTCGTCTTCTGTATACCAACATGACCTAATGAACTATGAATTTGATGAATACGTTCATTTAATAAATCAATTGGAAGACACAACTTCGATACATCATTTTCTTTTTTATACCATACACTGCCATCCTTCCAAAAAAGTTGTGGATTAGATTCGATTTGATTTGCCAAAATTCATCAGATTCTTGAACATCATTCCATGGTTTTGATTGAATAGTGAAGACACGAGATAACGCATCAGCAATGATATTATTTCTACCAGGAATATGTACAACGTCGAAGTCGTATTGTTGTAATCGTAATGCCATACGTCCAAGACTACCAACAGAATCTTTTTTAGTCATCAACCATTGTAAAGGACGATGATCACTTTCAACCAAAAACTTTCGACCATATAAATAATGATTGAAATGTTCGATAGACCACAATAAAGCAGTTGCTTCTTTTTTAATTGTAGCATACCTCAGTTGACAATCGGTAAAAGATTTAGAGGCATATTCAATTACATATTCGTTATTATCTTCATCACGTTGCAATAATACAGCACCCATTCCTTTATCAGATGCATCACATTGAATAACAAAGGATCTCATGATATATGAACAATTCGGATTCGGCATATGTATTACTGGAGATGCACAAAGAATATCACGAATTTTCACAAAAGAATCTTGACATTTGTCAGACCACACAAATTTATTTTGATGTTTCAATTTTTGGAGAGGCAATACCAATGTAGCATAATTTTCAATCATTGAACGGAAATAATTAGATAAACCAATAAATCGCTCAAGATCTTTACGACATTTAGGAACTGGAAAGTTCTTTAATGCTTCAATTTTTTTTATTGATGGTTGAATTTTTCCATCAGATATCGAAAAACCAAGATATTCAACTTGTTCCAATAAGAATTCAGATTTTGCCTTGTTGATTGTAAGATTATATTCTTTGAATAATTTGAAAACAATTTCTAAATGTTTATAATGATCACTTTTTGAAGAAGAATGAATAAGAATATCATCATAATAAATTTTGACGAAATCAAGTTTACCAAAAATTTTTGACATACATCGAATGAAAGTTTGTGGAGCAGAAACGAGACCAAACGGCATTCTTTTAAAATGATACAAATTGTTATTCCATTGAAATGCAGTTTTTTCACGATCTGATTCATTCATTGAAATTTGATAATAACCACTATTCATATCGATTTTTGAAAAATACTTTGAACCACGGAGATCACGAATTATTCGGTCACTTCTAGGTACTGGAAAAGAATCTTTTGGTAATTTTATTTAATTCACGGAAATCAATTGCTAATCGGATAGTACCATCAGGTTTCTTATTGGAACTATCGGATTTTTTCCATTCGGATTCAGACTCTTCTATTATGTTTTCATCAATTAGCTTTTTAACAGCAATATCAACATCTTTTTCGATAGCTTCCGGAATTCTATACTGACGAGTTTGTATTGGATGAACATTATCACGTAAAATAATTTTATGTTTGATAACTGATGTTTCACCCAAGTTTGTTGAATAAATCATTATATTTTTCAATAATTTTTCGACATTTTATCACTATGTGAACTATTAACTGATGATGATGATAGAAGAAATCATTTTGATAACACATTGTTCAATATCTTCGTTTTATCAGAATCAGTAGAAATGATCAAATTATTAAATTGTTGATAATCATGTGAATTTATATCGGTAGATCGCAATATTTTAGTTTGACCTTCGGTTCGACCATTCGAAATTTTAAATAACCCAAAATCAGTAGAAATCTTGAATTTTTTGAACTAAGAAGTCGAAACCAATCAGAAAAAATAATCATTATTATTTGCGACATAGAAATCCCATTTACATTTCACATTTTCAATTTTAATTGTTTCTTTATAAACACCAATAATCGATATCGGATCATTTGTGAATGATACAGCAGATACATTTTCTCAGGAATTAACCAATTTAGATGAATCAATAAGATTTTTGGAAAAAATGAAATACTACTGCCCGAATCAATACAATGGAAATCTAGTTGGCTACTACTGGCTAGCTAGTTTTATTGAATCACAACCCATCAATCAATCAGCATCAGTGTGCATACCATCATTTTATGGTATATGATTTAATGATTCATTGAAACTTAAAGTTTTTTTTTCTGATTTTCTTTTGAATTTTAGTTTTGAATAAAAAAAACTTTTTTTTGTTGTTGTTTATTTACGATAGTATGGGTGGTCAGGCAACCAGGAGAAAATCTTTTATTATCATGAAAACCGGAATCCCGAAGGCTCTTTTCGCAGTATCGGTAATAATAATAATAATAAATGAATAGAGTTGCAGACAATCCATCAAGTTATTCTAACGGTATTTTATGAGAATATCCAATGAACACCAAATCCATTGGAAAGTATGTTTCTAATGGAAAAAGAGAGAGAGAGAATAATTAGCTTTTTAGCCTAATAGATCATCGTCATCATATGCATAGATAATTTTTTTTTTGTTTGCAAATAAAAAGCCTGATATCACATATATATATACAGAACATCATCATTAGCGAGTAAAATTGAAAAAAAAAGTTTTTTTTTCAAGCAAAACGTATTTTAATCTCGATGAATGAGAAAGAGTAAGATTTTAATTAAAGAATAATGTTGAATTTTTTTTAAAAAAAAACGAAACGAAACGAGTAAGAATTTTATGTAAATTATCTATGTCGAAACCAACCAAGCAAGTTTTACTTTAATTCTAGGAATTTTTTTCCCTTTTTCATCCGCACAATCATTCGTGTATTTAACCCTCTTTGTTCTAATTTGTTGTTGTTGTTGTTGTTGTTGTAATTTTTCCTTCATCTATAGCCATGTATTCATGAAATTCTTCTCTCCCTAAAAATTAGAAAACCAAATGGAGAAAAACAAAATACAAAAACAAAAAAAAACACATTAAGTATAAAAAACAACAAGAACTAGAACCAAAATTCAAATCAAAGCCAAAAAAACAAATTTCCATAAAATTCCAATTTTCCAACAACAACAACAACCATGACGACCAAAACATGAATGTTTTTGGTTGGATTGAATCAAAAAAAAAAAAAAAATCAGGAAATTTTGAAGTACAATTCATATGTAATACAGGCAACGAATATCCTTATGTGAGATATATGCTAAAAACAAAAATCAAAGATAGAAAACTTGAATAACAACAACAACAAAGAGGAGAAATACAGATATAGCTAGAAATGGTGAATGGAAAGCTGCTTAAGCAGCTTAACTGGGATTCAAGATTATTTTTATGGGTTATTGTTGTTTTTGTTTCATTCATTGCTTTTTCCCTTGTAGAAACTTTTTTTTTGTTGGCAAATTCAATACTTTATTACTACAATTCTACTGCTTTTCCATTAAGAAATGTTGTAGAATTTCATGAAACGTAAAGTGAATGAAGAGAATGAAATTATCAGATGAAAATTTTTTTTTCTTGTATGTCTTTGTTCCAAATCAATGTTTGATATTGTTTTCGCCTCTCATCGGTAAATGTATGGGTTGGTGTCCATTCGAGCGGTGAGGGCCTGTTTTCTGGTTAGTCCTCGTCTCAGATATTCTTCGATGTCATTCAAATTGAGTTCGTGATTGCGGAAGTAAGATTTGTCTTAGAAACGGTGCACTTTGAATTTTTCTTGTCAACGCCGGTATTATTTGATGCCTGCCGCCATAATGTCGATCTAATTTCACTGGATTATTGATTATGTACAAAACAACAACAACAACTAAACTTTAACAATGAACGTCTCGTTAAACGTAATAGAAAATCAAATTGACAAATGAACGAATAGTTAAACATGTAGAAAATCAAATTGAAATATCAAAATATGCACAGAACACTAATCAACAGAATAATAATGATCATCAACAAATGTAAAATTTACAAGAGAAAAAACATAAGAAAATTTTAAAGTAAACTGATTTTTTTTTTCAATGTCAGTGTAAAAAAAGAAGCCAAGAATTTTGTTTCTGTTGAACAAAAAAAAAAGTTTGATTTTAAATGCATACAACAACAACAACAACACAGAATCCAACCGAGATTGAATCAAAAGTTAAAGCATGAAAATTAGGTAAATAAAAGAAATTCGAATGAAACAGATGTGTATATACGTGTTTACAAGTAGACAAATTTTTTTTCTTCAAATTTTATTCTGTTTGGTTGAAAACAAAAAATGAAATTCACAATCGTTACAAATAAAAAAAAGGATAAAAAAAACGATTTGGTTCTCACGTTTGTTTATTATTGTTCCATTGATTTGTTTGGACATTTTGTCTTGTGATTTAATGTTTTCAATTTTTCAATTGTATGTGCCATTCGTTGTGTTACTATATATTTCACTATTTAACTTTCATAAACCTCAATTTAAATGAAAAACAACTAGACCTAAACTTTTTTTTTGTACATCCAGAAAAAAAATGATTACATGGTTTCTGCTTCATGTCAACCAATTTTTTTTTTGGAGATAGATTGACCAAATGTTTGGATGAAACACATACATACATACACAAACAAACGAATGAATCAACAAGGGAAAATAATTTTTTTTCTTGATTCTGATTTTGACTTTTATTCTGGTTGAATGGTCAATACAATTGAAATTTACTATATATATATATATGGATTGAACTAGACACAAACACATACATTATAAACCAGTAAAAACAGTAAAGAATCCAAATATTGATAAATCAATGATGGTATTTTGCTCCATACACACACACACAGAATGACTTTGGATTTTTTTTTTTTTTTGATTCATTGATTTCACCAAAACCTAGTGCCTTGGCTTTCAAATTCAATTAAATTGTGTGTTTTATATCATTTTTTTTTGTTTTGTTTTCTATTTTATAAAAATAAACGACATATATACAGGCCTATTAATTTTTCAATTAATCATCTACGTTCATACAAATAATTTTTATTACTTTGCCATATGATTTTTATTGTTCATTCAG